AGGTGGATAACCACAAGAGACCAAACCCACGCATGGCTACTGAGACACTACAACTCGCAAGACCTCAGATATCCACCATTGTGACATTACTAACGGGGCACTGCTTGCTGAAACACCTTCATGTGTTGGGATTACACAATGATCCCACTTCGTGTAGACTCCCCAGGCAGCAGACTGACGTCATTGTAACATCTTATTTTCGTCATACAGGACGTCATTTATCCTCTGAAAACTAACGTGATAATGACGGTAAAATGACGTGAATATGTCACAGCCCAAATGACGTCATATTTAGACGTCCTTTTCACGTCTAAATATGACGTGTTCATGACTTTTCCTAGTAGTCTTTATAACGTTTTTATAACGTTGTTTTAATGTCACTTTTGTTGTTATTTGAGACGTCACCATGACGTTACATTTGATTGTTACTCCTTTGTAACTTTTCTATAGGAATTAGAAAATAAAATAATTATAATTATAAAGAAAAACCAGTTTAAATACATGAAATGTTATTGGCAAAAAACATTAATTAATATAAATCCAACTGCTCCAAATGTGGCCACCTTGTTCGTTATTGTTTTGGTTTTGGCACACATATGAAGACTACGGGCACATTTAATTTCTAATGATTTTTTATGAGTGCCGCCATTTTATACTATTTCACGAACCAGGGAACATTTTATGAAACATCCTATGAATGTAAAAGATATAAAATCATTAAAGAATAAGGAAAATATAGATATAAAATTACCTTATGCTGGGTTGATACTGATATAACTTTTTTCACTGACCTTCTCTTAACTTTTAACAACAATCCTGAATGCACACGGGCAACGATGCACACACCATTACACATGGCCGATGCAACAATCTGCGATACCGTTCTCGAGCTTGCTCGAATGGCTCGAACACACACGAGCCATACTCCATAGACCGATAATCATAGACAGAGGCAGTCATGTGTCACGTGGTGTCATACAATCTTTATGCATTTTAAGCATCACATTTAAGCGATAATAGATCTAAAAAACAATTGTTTAGGCCAGATCATTTTACATAAATAAAATGTATTGAAATCACGTTTAATATAAACCTTAATTTAATAGTGACAATAAATTGACGTCACACTAACGTCGAATTTGTGACGTCAAAAAGACGTTAAAGAAGTGACGTTATATTCACTTCATTTTTTGGTAACATGACGTCGATGACCAAGAATTACCAAAAAATGTCGTCAGTCTGGTGTCTAGGTCTGCATATGATCTTCGAATACGAAGCTCTTACTAGGAGAAGTTTCACCCTTTTCGGCCTAGAACCGGAAATAACGCCGCAGGAATACTTGGTAGGGAACTTATTAAAACTAACCAAAGACACAGGACTATTCCAAAGATAGTACCTAAATACGGGGAAAGAAGGGGAATACAATAGACGGAATACAATAGACCCAAGAGGCCGCAGTGTTCTGGACCAAACCTAACCCTACCTGCTTACAACCGACAAAGATAAAGATAAAAAAGAAAAGATATAAAAATAAAACTTCCGAAAACTCCTTCAAGAGAAAGTTCCGAATATGGTCGGATCCATGCACTTAGGAGTCATATTTCTAAACAAACTCACAACATCTAAAACTTTTTTAAATGCGTGTTCTTTACTTTTCGGCATACATAACAAAACTAAACTCTGATACAATAACCGTCTGCACAACTGATAATGATAATATTGATATTTGTTTATTAGGAAAGGACAAAACGTTAGTGATTTCCCAATGTTAAGCCTGGAACAGGTAAATTTTCCTAGAAAACCATTAACAAACAAACCATTGTCCCAAAATTTTATTATAAAATGTTCAAAAAACACCTAGAATGGGCAAAATAGGCAAACTATAAATGAAATAATATAATGTAACGTTCATTTGATTAAAACAGTTTTTTACTATTTATTTTTACTAAATACTATTAATTTATACTAAAATACTTAGATCAGCATTATTCCACTCTTATATAGCAGCTCGAATGTCTATCTTCAACTGTGTCTCGACTTTAACTGTACTCAACCGACAAAAGAATCCATTCATATGTATACAAAAGATGAGGCTTCAGATAAATCCGATCCTGTTTCGCAGAGTTCGAGATGCAACGGTCCTTCCCCAAGAATCCACATTTATGGAGCTTTCCAGTATCATAATTAGTGATAATTTTTTAATTAAAAATTGTTACTATGGTTTTTCATTTTTATTTGGCCGAGAAAGATAAATGTTTGCATTAATTTGGCACCTGATAACTTGTTAGTGAACGAACAGGTAATAAAGTGCTGAATTGGCTAATCTAAAGTGCTCAATTGGCCGATCTCCGTTTAGTCCTTGGGGCTCAATTGGTGGCCGCCCGCAAATTATGGAAAACATGCCATTGACATAAGTGAATGTATTTTTTTATGCGTGTTAGGTAATACGCTAGTTTAGTGATGATGTAATTATGGTTTCACTGACAGTACATTTTTTGAGTGCCTTTTGTTCGTTTTGTTTACCTCAATTATATCGTTTTTTCACTTTTATAAATAGAGAGTTTTAGCAAACATCCGCTAATCATCCGTTAACATTACCTTAGGGATATACTGTAATCTACCCCGTTCAATGGTTATGAAAAATTTCACAATCTAAGTTTAACGTAACGTTAGCGGAAATTTTACGTACATTTGCTAAAACTCTCTAATATATTCCTAAAGCAAGTAAATAACGTGCATCAAATATGCAATCCTTTAGTTACCAATTACATACCTTTAAATTATGACCTGTAATAGTTATTTATGATATACGTACTAAAAGTGATATTTTATTTTGAGAGAAGGGAAGTTTGGAACACGACGCCGAAGGCTGTGTTCCATCCCTTCAAATAAAATCAAATCACTTTTAGCACTATTTTTTCTACAAACACTATTAAAAATCCAAATTAACGCATAAATATTTTACATTAATTAATAATTGATAAAATAACACCCTCGATATTATCAGTTCCAATTTCATCTAATCTATTCATAAAACAAGTTGCCAAGGTAAACAAAAACCGAATTTGTTGATTTGTCTTTGTTGACAACTAAGAGGCAAAGCCCACTCACGCGACATGTCGCGCGCGACCTGCCGCATGCGATTTTTTAGGTGCGATTTTTAACAGAAGCAGCAACACAGACGTTCAGTATCAAAATAGAGGTGGAAGAAGTAGTAACGGTGTTGTTTTATTCTGTTCGTTGGCGGGAAAAACGACTTAGGTACTGGATTCATCCATTATTTATAGACCCTTATGTAAAAGGCGCAATTAATTTATTACATAAGGATTTACGTCAACACGAGGATAAGTTCTTCAAATATTTCAGAATGAGAGTAGTGTCATTTTACGAACTGTTTGCGCAGATTCCCGAACAAATATTTTTTTCGCTATTTTATTTCAATTAACTGTTGAGGTCGGTCTTGAATATCGGATATAAATTCATCTATATCAATACAAATGTCGGACATTTTTTCACTGGAACTGTCGAAAAGTTAACAGGAAACTCTAACTCTCAACTGGCGTTTCGCACGCGACTTGACGTTTGTATGAGTGATGCTCCATATGAATCCATGATAACGCTGGCCGCGTGCGGCAGGAAAATCGCGGACTTGTCATTTCTAATTTTCAGCCGCGTGCGACCACGCGACAACCGCGTTAATGAGCTTTGAGGCATTTAAAAACATCTAAAGTATTACCGCGCGCGATGCCTCGCGATCAGTCGCGCGCGACGTGTGGCATGAGTGGGCTTTCCCTCTAACTTCAATAAATCACGAATTATTCTTTCTCGTTTCTTCGTTCCTCGATGGAAAGTTATCAAGAAAATGAATTTCTACCGCCGGAAATTTAAGAAGCTGCCAATAAAGCTGCTTTTGAATTTTTGCCTAGTAAAGTCAAAGCAACAGTACGAGTTTTCATATGATCGTTTCTTGAAATGGTGTGAAATGTCAGTGGCAAGGAGGCCAGTGAAAAAGTGCTTCTTGCATAATTTGAAGAAAAGTCCAAAATTTGGAAATCGTCAACGCTTTGGTCGAATTACTCTATGTTAAAGTCGATGATGAACATAAATAATCATCACATAAGCAGACACAAGCTTGTGGCTTTTTTGAAGCGAAATGGTGAAGGATATCGACCGAATCACTTTTAGCACTAGTGCTAAAAGTGATTTACTTTTAACACCATTGTCATAAAATGGCATTTTAGACACTGACAGCATGCGTTTAAATTATACTTTTACTGACGTTTGTATGTCAAATTTATTGATGTTTTAATTAAAAGTTTGGTTAGAATTAAATTTCAGTGGAATCAAAATAACATCCCACTAAACTAGCGCATTAGTGTGAAGTGAATGTATGCTTTCTATATTTAATTTAGAGTTCGTTTTATATCGTTATATTCTGCTGTGGTCTGTTGTTAATAAAATTCAATTATATTATATTTATTTAATAATTAAATAAAACATACATTGTTGATAATTATTTCATTCTTTCAAATTCCAGGAAGTTATTTTACGTACCATAATATAAAACATGTTAAATGCCAAGAATGTATACTTTAGGGGTTTTTCCGCAATTTTTTCCGGGTGGGTTTTTGCAAGTCGGCATTGAATTTTCAGTCAGTCAAAGGCAAGACAAATTTCAACAACTAATCGGTAGTACGCAAACGTGCAATGTGAATTGCCGCAATTTTACTAGCAGACAAGGAAAATTGTAAATTAAATAACTATAAACAAATCAGTTTGGAAAAATCTCGTTTTCTTGCCACAATTTCACTATTGATGTAATGTACCTACCAGTGATGTATTGTACGATTGGAATAGAATACATTTTTTTTAAATAACTGGATTTGTTATTTTCCCGCATGTTTTGATTAGATATTGACAAAAGCTGTTTTTTCGTTAACCTGCATGTAAGTTTAATTAGGAACTTTGCTATTATATAATGCAAATGAGTCGATTTATAGGAAGAAGACCAGCGGACGTTAATAATACAGTTTGTTCAATTGGTAACTGCCAGTGAGATGGAAAAGGAACTTTTAAAAGATCAGGTAATGATAATTCATGTAAATTTTACTTTGGCTGAGTAACAAAATATAATATTTTTCAATACGACAAACAGACCAGGAGGATAGCAGGGGGTGCCTATTTAAAAAATATCAAAAGTTAGAAAAGAAAAAATTGATTAAATTTGCTATAATAATAGCTAACGTTGCGTGCCATTACCTAAATCTTATCCTATAGCAGCGTTTTGCACGTAAAAAAATACATTTTTATTTATTTTTTTATTTTTCAATATAGGTTCACGAGTTGTCCGAAAAATATGAAAAACTACAAGACTTGAATTTTAACATAGAAATTGAACATTGTAACAGTCTTCAAGATGTAGAAGGTTTGGATATTCAACTATTTAAATATCAAACTGTGCTAAAAACTACTGAGGTAATAATCTTTTTCTGTCACGTGTCTTTTGCTTTTTCTTGTAGTTTAGTGCAAGCTTCGTGCAGTGTCATATTTATTAATACGCTTTTTTGTGACTATAACTTTTAATTCTGAAATTGTCACGTTTACAACGAAGCGGTTGATAACATTAGAAATTCAATAAGTTTATCTTAAGATTATAATTACAACTAGGTAGATAAAAGGTTTATTAGATTTATTTACTCTACTCCTAAATGCATGTAAATTAGGGTGTGTCATTTTTGAACTTTTTTTTTTTTCAACTAAAAAACAGGCTTAAAACTTTCAGGAAGGTGAAAAAAGAAGCCTCTAAAAATTTGAGCTCTTAATATTATCAATATTATCATTTAGTGGTGCCTGTTCCTAACTTTCCATTTTCCATCTAAATAACATGGAAAAAAAATTTCTTTTTTCTTATTTTTGTGGCTTGACATTTGAGCATTGTAACAATAAAGTGAAAAAATATTTTGGTAGGAAATTGAACGCTCTACGAAAAGTTCTAATTTTTTTTTTTTTCATAGAGTGAGCCGTTCTGACGATATTAAAACTTAAAGTTGCAAATGTATGAAATTAGGACTTTTATTAAACTAATACTGATGACTTTTTTTATGTCTTAAAAATTATTTTTAATCAGAAAACTGGTTTTTTTTGCGCTAATATTTTTAGGAAGCTAAAATTAAAAAAAAATACAAAAGTAATTATGAATTAGGTCCAGTAAAATTATTATTTTATAGATTAAAAAAAACTTTTTAACAATTAGCATACTAAATTTTTTAAACTAATAGATATTTTAATGTCTTATCAGAATTAAATGATGTAACTATATTTGTTGAATTTTTTTTATTACAATTTGGATATTTTCGTCGGTGCTCCTTTACCACTTGTAATAAATATTAAAATTGTTCCTCATCTTTAGTTAGGCATCTATTATATTATTCTACTAATGCGACGTCATGTCCTGTAACGTCATTGACAACTTTCAATTTTTCGAAAAACTCCAAATTCTCTTGATAACTTTCATTATCTGGCCAAATTAGGACATCTGCATCCAGAAAGTCGTACGGCAAATCAAATTTGTCAAAAAGTTTCAATGATTGTTTTGAAACAAAGTCACTCATATTTTTGTTTAAAAATATTTCTGGTGAATTTTTGTCTTCTGTGCGTCGTTATTTTCTGTCTATATGAAAATAATGATGTTTTCTTGAAAATTCCACACCTGTAATTTTGAACCAATCAAAATACGTGTTTTTGACAGATCACCATGGCAACGGAGGTATTTTAGTGGAAATTTTTTTCTCGTGGGGTACCCAACAGCGAATTATACTGGAAATTTTTTGACGTTTACAATAACAGACCATTTTTGACAGATTGGTTTTTATTTGTTCACATAATAGGTTTAGTTTTGATACATTTTAGTTACAATGCTAAGGTGTTTTCTATATTCTTCGGCCACTTCTTTTCTTCTTAATGGCGAAAATGCAGGACTTTGGATGCTTTGAATTATGTGTCTATGTCTAATAAAATATATATAATATTTAGACACTAATTTATTCACCTTTTCCCCATTCAGCACTTTGAATTTTGCGTAGTTTAGGTGCAAATATTCATGGACAATTCGGAACAAATTTTCGTTTTTCAAGTTGGAGCCACAATCCTCTATTAATCCGAGTAAGTAAGTCATGGTGCAATGATTGATCATTACATCAGACAATTTCACGCATATTTTGCATAGCGTATGATTTTCAAATCGATTCATTTTTAAACAAATAGGTAATTTTGTTGGTTTTACTTGCTGTGCAATATTCTTTATCGCAACAAAACGAGAGTTATTTAATGTTTTGAACTGTCAAAATATAATGATCACAGCCTCCTACGATTGATGCTTGCTGACGCTGGTTATGAATTTCATACCATTTTAAAGCGCTCATAACGCATGTTAATAAAAACGCAGAAAAACAATTTTCTACCACTTGTAGTTATTCAAAACTTACGTAAAATTAAAGAATATACTATTTTCTATTTTCAAATGGTATTCCCATGCAACTACAATGAGTAGAAATAAGCAATTTGAAGGCCTAAATAATTGTAGCGAAACATTTTTTTACGTCGGGCCGCTTGACAACTTCAAAACTGAAATTATATTCGAGGTTAGGGTCTCACTTAGTTACCATGACAACTCAACAATCAAGGCGACAACACCTTTTATGTTTCACTGGTGACTTGGAGAAAATAATTTGCATTGTTGAGAAACGAAAAATAAATTTTAAAAATATTTAATTTTCAACCATAATTCGGCGTGGAATTTTCTTACCGTCTGCGACTCGGGAAATTTTCAAAATATTCATGAGCTCGAAAAAATTTCCGGAAATAATTTGACCTCTAGTGGTATTACTAGTGAAAATAATTTTTAAGACATAAAAAAAGTCATCAGTTTAATAAAATAAAAGTCCTAATTTCATACATTTGCAACTTTAAGTTTGAATATCTTCAGAACGGCTCACTCTATGAAAAAAATTAATTATAACTTTTTGTAGAGCGTTCAATTTCCTACCAAAATAATTTTTCACTTTATTTTTACAATGCTCAAATGTCAAGCTACAAAAATAAGAATTTTTTTCCATGTTATTTAGATGGAAAATAGAAAGTTAAGAACAGGCACCACTAAATAATAATATTAAGAGCTCACATTTTTAGAGGCTTCTTTTTTCACCTTCCTGAAAGTTTTTGGCCTGTTTTTTAGTTGAAAAAAAAAGTTGCTTAAAAATGATACACCCTAATGTAAATATTTAAAGAGGTATTTCCTAGGTCTGTTTTATAACTAAAATTTCATATAAATTGCTTTTCTTTAAAGATACAAGGTGTTAATAAATATCAATTAGATTGCCCTCTCGGGCGTCACTGTACTTGATAATTTTAATCTAATTATCCTTTTAGTACTACAAACAAACCTTACAATATTTAGAAAATAATAAAATTAAAAATAAAGAAATTTGAATTACAGGTTTGCATGAAACTAGTTATAAAAAAATATCAAAGAATGACCTACTTCATTATTAACATGTCAATCCGAATACAACCCATTGTAAAATTTGATATTGCTTTGTATTAGTTATAAACTTGTTTCTTAATGAGAATGGGAACAGAAAAAACTTTTCAACTGTTTAATATTTAAAATTATTTGATTATGAATTTTTTATTTTTATTTGGTTTATTTTTTTTAGGAAGAATTGCAAATTTGTAAATCTAATATAAAGAAATTGCAGAAACAAAAAAGGAATTTTGAAAAAGTTGTTGGCTATTTTAAAGAGGAGATGGCAACCATGTCGCAGCAACTTCAAAATTTGCAAGATTTGTTGGTAAGTTGTATTTTTCTTTGAGTAAAACAAAAGTTTATAAAAATACTACCTTTAACTTTCTTTTTGTTTTTCGTATATTTTTATTCTACTTTTTTGATAGTTAAAATTGAAAAAGTGTGAATTTTTTTATTTTATATTTTTGGTAATACTACTAGCGATATTCCAAAAATCAAAAAAGTTACCGAGAAACTTTGCCAAAAATTCTAAAAACCCCTGAATATTGCTAGATTTTTTTTCATATTATCCCTCATGTAGTTTGATATAGTAGACGGCACAGATAAATTTTACTATTCCACAATTAAATATCAGTATTATTAATGTATAATTCACAAAGACACCGCCGACGTTCAGCTTAGAAAACACAGTTGTCAAACTTCAAAAATAAAGTGATGCGATCAATTATATTACAGCTAAACGACTGTGTACGTTAAGCGCATAATACCCTTCGAGCAAATATGCTGGAACCGAGCACATCAAATAAATATTTTATGCCTGGCATCGCTGTACAATGAGAATCTGTCGGCTCGATTAATTAGTAGAATCGAGCCTTTCTCAAATTTCTATTTGCTGTAGCCCAAGATAACCTGTAAGAAAAAACATGTACTGGGATATCCAATAGTAATTCTGTGATTTTGTTCAACTCATGTTCTAATTGGTCATATGGAATGCTTCTATACGTCATCGTCATGTTAACTGAGCACAGATGGACAATATTAGTTTATCCAGTGTTGTATTCACATTACTGTTTGGCTTTTTGGTTAATAAAAAAAATGGCTTTTTGGGGGCCCTTTGTAAGTGATGAAAATAATGTAATCCCTGAAGGCATGTAAATAATTATAATTTTGATTGACTATTTTTTAAATCAGTTGCACCTCAAAAACAACTAAATTCGCTATACTTACGCTGGTTTCGGATTAAAAATTTTATGAGTATTTCCAGGTATTAACCGTCATCAAACAGTTTAATTTGATTAGAAATTATACGTTTCTATGCTTTGTGTAAACAGTTGTGATGAGGGTGAAAGAACAACGGACGGTGTTGAAATTTGAAACCTCTTTTACGCCCGTATGCACCGTACACGTTTAATCCAGATTAAGGGTTTAATCGCGTTTAGTACCATTTTTAGCTATGCACCGTAATAAAAATCATTCTAAATCCGGTTTTATTCTAATCCGTCAATATCGGAGGATTAAATTATTTAAGCCTTGGTTTCTTTGAACACTTCGTCGCGGTGAGCGGACAGTCCGTCAACCGTCGCGTTTTGACGATTTTATCCAACCAGAGTATTTAAATGGGAATGGTTTTCTTGAATCCGCTTAGCTGAGCAGGACGGCATCATGCCGCTGATGTGTCGCGAAGAGTCGGTTGATATCTGTTGAGTTTGATATCAGCGGAATCGTCGGCGTGTGCGGAGACTATATTGTTATTAATTTTAAAACAATGAGTGACAAATTCACACATACAGATGACATCATGACTTTATTTTTAGGTTTCTTGGAAATTATGTCCTTTATAAAACTCAACACGAATTCAAAAAGATCTGTAGAAAGTCTAAAATACTCCCTAAATTTGGTTTCATTTCCAAAAAGCCTCCGCTGCACAGTGATATTAAAGGCACCTTCTGTATCGCGACACAAAAACAACTCATCCACTGGCTTATTGGAAACTTTGACGGTTGCAATTGCCAGTTCCTCTTGTTCTTCCTCTTCCAACAATAATAACAACGCAAACAATTTATTTGCATCCATTTTAGTACCTTTCGTTTACATTCATAATACATAAACAGCACGTACAGACATAGAGAAAGTATCATTTTCTATATTTTTTAACAAACCACTTCAGCCTTGGTTTCTTTGAACACTTCGTCGCAGTGAGCGGACAGTCCGTCAACCGTCGCGTTTTGACGATTTTATCCAACCAGCGTATTTAAATGGGAATGGTTTTCTTGAATCCGCTTAGCTGAGCAGGACGGCGTCATGCCGCTGATTTGTTGCGAAGAGTCGGTTGATATCTGTTGAGTTTGATATCAGCGGAATCGTCGGCGTGTGCGGAGACTATATTGTTATTAATTTTAAAACAATGAATGACAAATTCACACATACAGATGACATCATAACTTTATTTTTAGGTTTCTTGGAAATTATGTCCTCTATAAAACTCAACACGAATTCAAAAATATCTGTAGAAAGCCTAACATACTCCCTAAATTTGGTTTCATTTCCAAAAAGCCTCCGCTGCACAGTGATATTAAAGGCACCTTCTGTATCGCGACACAAAAACAACTCATCCATTGGCTTATTGGAAACTTTGACGGTTGCAATTGCCAGTTCCTCTTGTTCTTCCTCTTCCAACAATAATAATAACGCAAACAATTTATTTGCATCCATTTTAGTACCTTTCGTTTACCTTCATAATACAAAAACAGCACGTACAGACCTAGAGAAAGTATCATTTTATATATTTTTTAACAAACCACCTCGGGAGAAAATTGCTGTCCTCAGCGGTCGACGGACTGTCCGCTCACCGCGACGGAGTGTTCAAAGAAACCAAGGCTTTCGGGCGAAAATTGCTGTCCTCAGCGGTCGACGGACTGTCCGCTCACCTCGACGGAGTGTTCAAAGAAACCAAAGCTTCAAACGAGATTGTCTAGCGTCAAAAAGATGTCAACAGTTTGTCAGTGTATTTGGAACTTTCTATTTGTGTCTCTTGTATTTATTTTATTTGAATTTTATTAAAAAACGGAAATAGAAAACCAGTTTTTCCTGGAAGGTGACAAATATTCTAGCCAAAATTACGAGAGAAATGAATATTTTTACACGATGGGCAATTTTGTAATTTTTAAGATGTTTTTTGTATTCTAACGTTACAACATAGTTCTGTAGTTAGACGGCAAATTCAGATATGTTGAAAAATGTAAAAATAAGTAAGAAATACATATATTATTTATGTAATATTGTCCACTTTTAAATAGTGAAACACAGTATAGGGACGGTATTCACAGGTACATCTTTTTGCATAGAAAAGCCCTGAAATAGGTACAGCAATTTGTATGCATTACGTTGATTGCCAAAAATGTTATTGGATTTGCCATCTAACCATAGAATTATTTTTTAAATTTATTTAACATTCTTTTTTATCCTGCGTAAAATTCGATATGCGGTGTTTAAGGTTTTGGTACATTTAAAAAAATAGGGCTTCTATCTTCAAATGGCCTCTTATCCTTTGACATACATTGTTTCTCCTACTCAAATCTGAAGTTTTCTTTTTCTCTTTTTTTTGTGAAATTTATAAAAATCCAGTGTTGTCAGATTACTAAACTCGATTATCTAATCCTTAGCCGGTGCATAGACCACTAGTCATTTAAACAATATTTGCAAATCTGGATTAAATTTTAAAACGGTGCATATGGGCGTTATACTTTAAATTAATCTAGGATCAGTTATTACAAACATTTTGAGTTGGGTATTGAAATTATTTTATGGTAAAATACATATGTTACGACACATTTTACTTCAACTTGCACAAATAACACTGCCACATAAGCCTTACTTTAGTTCCCATTTGGCTTATTTGACAAACAAAACTAAACGCAAAACGAACATTACAAATCAAAAAACATATGTCAAATGTAAAATTTCGTCGATTGTTAAACGTAGAAGCGACTTTAATTTGCGATTCTACGTTTTAACAAATGGTTTCAAAAAAGCTTTCCAATAAGTCAATAAATATTTAAAAATAAATAATAAATTAGGAACAAAGGAACATTGGAAACATAATAAGCAGTACTAACTCAGATAGGTATTAAAAATAACAAATGTGTCCTAATCTTTTTGATAAATAATAGAACATTCTTTAACATGGGCGTCGTTTGGGGGGGGGCAAGGGGGGCAGTTGCCCCCCCCTGGCTTTTACGGCTTAATCAACAACGCATAAGATATGCATTACAAACAACAATCTCATAGAAATAATATTCAGGCTAATATAGTTGAAGAATATTATAGGTTGAATATATTTATTGTATATCTGGGTTCCGCTTTTCCGAAGACTTTGTTAGTTTTTCCTTAAACATGTTACATCCCAAAAACATAAAAAATACTAAATGAAAGTGGTGGAAAAATTTGGAATCGACAATTTTGAAGCTGAATACCAAACTGGAATACGAAAGAGCTTTCTGCACACAATGAGCTCTCCATTGATGATATATCGTCCAAATATTGTGAATTTTATTCAGACATACAACATGATTTAAAACATATTTATGGCTCTTCCACCAACGACAGAGTTAATCGAAAGAACGTTTGGAACGCTAAGGCATGTTAAAACATGGCTGCGGTACCTATTCGATTAGTGCAAAGTCATGGTAGGAGAAGCAAAAGCGATACTAGCGCAAGCTGCAGATAATTCGAGTATTTTAGAGCGATATTTTGTAATTTTGGCGTATCAAATACACGTATACATTTTACTTTTTATTAAAAAAAATAGGTAAAAACAATAAAATGAGCAACCGGAGTTGCTATGTTGCAAATTATATTAGCAAAAAGACTGTAAATTATATGAATGTTCAGTAGCAAAATCGAAATTAAATAAAAGAAATAAATGGACAGCTGTATAATAAGAACAAAAAACCTTCTTTTTGTAATAATTAAGCAATAAATTATTTTTTTATGATATTCTTTAACATCCCTTAAATCTTAAATGTTTAGTAAATGATTAGATTTCTGCCTTTAATTATTGTATATGGCTGCAATGGATTCAATCTTGTGACTTATTGATAGAAAACCAGTTTTATTCATTAATTTCTATGGGTTCTTTCGAAGTAAAAATGAAGAAAATATAAATTACAATCGCAAATATACCAATTATTTTTGTTATTACGTTTTAATTCTACGTTATTATATAATGGTAATATTTTTATTTTGACATTATTTAACCTATTCTTCAATGACAACTTATTATGCTTAGGCAAGATCTCTATTTACGAGAAAATGTAAATACCTGCCTATGTTTTATTATTGATTTTTATTGACTTTTTAGCTAAAGTAATAAAAATATATAATAATAATAATTTTTTCACTTGTTTTAAAATTAAAATTATCATATATATTTCTTAATTACGAACTCTATTAAAAATTGTATTGTCAGTATACGCAAATATCGTCCGTTAGTTCATAAAACAGTTGGCGTTGCTGTCACGCACGGAGTGAATAATGAATGAAAATAGGCTGACTGAAAAATAAATTAATTTTTCCGTTATGGTCGGTGTTTAAATTTCCGTACCTGTATATTCCATCTATGGGGTGATGCAGAGAAAAAAACATACATACATACATACATACATACATACAACGACTGGAGGATACCGTAATAATCAACAAATTACAATTTGTTTTATAATAGAATAAAATGTTAATGCAAATATGTTTTATCGATACAAATATTATTATGCAGGGCTCCTGCTGCTCAAGGCTCGCTACTGATAATAAGGTACCATGCTAAAACCAATTCGTCTACTGATTTTTTTTTATTGATACATCCTGCAAATAATCTTCGTTCAAAATTATTGTAATATTATATTATATTTCATCTAACTAAAAATGTTCTGATTTTTTCACGATCAAATACCTGATTTATCTAATTTTGTTACAGAATATGTCCCATGAATCTTCTCAAAAGGAAGCAAACAAATTGATGGAATCATTAGTAAATCTGCAACAATTAAATCAGAAATTATCTTTGCAACTTGCAGCTGCCGAACAAAAAGTAATCCTCGAAAACCAAATGAACCAACTAAACCAAACAAAAATATCAGAACTGGAAAGAATGATAGCAGAAAAAGATGTGGATCTGCATAAACATACATCAACTATAGAAACCATAAAGAAAAGTCTACAATCGTCTTTACAACAGAATAAAGAATTACAACAAACGATATCATCTTTGAACCAAACTATAATGGAATTTCAAGAAATAGTTCGTAAATATGAAGAAGATAACAATAAATCTAAAGAAAATACCACACTCTGTAAAACCCAAATAGGCGTTTGCAAGGATAAACTCTTAGAGTTAAACGTTATTCTGGAACGAAAAACAACTGAATTATGTACCTTGGAGTGCGCTTACAATCAACAACACAAATCCCTAAAATCCTGTCAGATTGAGTTGAACAAATTCAAAGAAAAACAGAAGACGAAGCAACAGTACTTGAAGAGGGTGATTGAACAGCTGAAAATTCAATTGTCGGCAGCTCAGGATGCGCATAAAAAGGTTGTTGAAAGACATAACGCTGTAGAAAAGGAATTGGATGCAATTAAATGCAAAGATTCTGCGAAAGATGATGAGGTTGACAAGTATAAGAAGTTTGTAGGCGAATTGAAAGTTACGGTATGTATTAAGATTATGATCAATAATTTCAGATGGTTGTATATTTGACTCTTTTGTACATTTTTTTTAATATCCATTATAATCATTTGATTCTATTGAAAAATAGTAACTATTTTAGCTTTCGACATATCGGGCATAAAGGGCACGTTAATATATCTTTAATTTTCTATGCGATTTGGATAAAATTTGAAACAAACATACTAGACAAGATTTTGAATTGACATTTATATTTAAACAAAATGCAGACTTGCGATGTTGCCGGAAATGATATTAATTTTGATTTTTTAAATGGATAGGTATATTTTGTTTTTTGGAATCTACGGGTCAAATTACATATGACAGTGTTGCCAATTACAATTTTTTTTTGATATGCAAGTAATATGAAAGTTACTTTTTTTCATTAAAATAACTTTTTTTTCACTCCATGGAGTGCGTAAAATATGTACTTTACGCACGGTAGTAGAAAATAATATATTACATTACGCGTGTGGAAAATCACTTTTCACACAAGTGATGTACAATATTTTTCCTACGACCACAAAATAATTTCATCAAAAAATGTAAAACCAGGTTATTATTATAATAATTAAAATGTATTTAAAAAATAATCAACAATAATCGTATTTATTCAATTTTCATATTTTCTAAACAAAAAAAAAACTAAAAAACCAAAAAAATAAAAAAAAATAAATTATGCCCCCGCAAGGATTTGAACGCGGTCGCTCGCCAGGTCTCAAATGGTAAAGTTGATAAAGTTTGATACTACCACCTGAGCTAATAGGCCTTGCGCCAATTGAATGATCTAATCGGTTATGTGTTTAACCAGAATAAAAAGCAAACATAACTTAGTTATTTTAAAATTATTTTAATAATAATTGTTGAAGATAAATATCTAAGATCTAATTTACAACAATTTCAATAATTTAACAATCATATCGATTTTAATATTAATATGGACATTACATAGATCAAAATAGAAATGATGCGTTTGACATTTTGTGACAGCTGATGCGGAAAGTAGCATATTCGCACACGGGTGGAAAGTAAATTCTTATTCATACGCGTGTGATATAGGGCACTTTTCATAGGACTATATATAGTGCGATATGTGTCACTTTCCTAAGTGGTCGTAGGAAAAATATTTTTTTCTAAGTGTTTCTCCAGTTGTTACCCATTCACCTAGTACCATCCGCGTATAGCTACCAATAATTTTTTTTAATTTTAGTTGGTGGAATTAAATGATTCTCTTATAAATCAAGAATGTAGGTGCCAGGACGAAGATTCTCCAGACCAATCAACCAATAATTCGTTTGAAGATGCATCCAGTTGTTCATGCGAAATGGGATATTACCTAGGCATAATTGAATCAGTAAAGAAAGCGGTTCGTTCTAATCTTTACACAATTTACTTTTTAACTGTCAGTTTTCTATTAGGCATTCCAAACAAAATACTGTCGGTGGGAAGGGTTGGTATATCTAAATGGTTGCGACATACGAAATCATGAATAATGAATTTAATTTAAATATTTTATGTCAAACACAATAAAAATAGTATTAACAAAAACCGCTTATACATTTTTCATAAATTGGCAGGCTTGGCGACTACTATTTTGAATAAAAATAGCGTCCAAGATGAAAGGCTATGTCGCTGCCCGCTTAGATAGGTATACAAGCCCTTTCTACTGGCAGCCATTGTTTGACAGGTCTTTGGAATGCCTAATTATAATATACCAACATAAAATTAATTCAACTCATATTTAGATGACAAACTCAATAATATCACATTTTTACAATAATGATTCAAAATTCTAAATAAGTTAAAACCATAACTTAAACAATAGATTTTCTTGATTGGACTTAAAATGTACTAACATATTTTTTTCACAGACAATACAGTTAATGACGAATCTGTCAGATTCACAAAAACAAAACGTAAAACTAGAGAAAGAAAACAAACATAAACAATCTCAAATAGAAGAGATGGCAAAAGCTCAACTAGAAAGAGATAAAAAATACAATGAACTCAAGCAAAAATTAATGGATATATTAAAACACTCGCAAGCCGAAGAACAGCATTATATAGAACTAACGAAAACTTTGCACAAAGAAATCAATTTGTTGAAAAACGATCTGGAACATAAAATTAAACAATTTAAAGAAGCCGAACGGAATGCTGAAGAAGTCGCTAGCTCTATTAGTATGGAATTGGCTGCCGCTAATGAAGAAGTTGAATTGTTGAAGGAGCAATTGAACAATTTGGTTAGACAGCAACGTGTCGTCAATTCACAGGTCAGTACTTAATTTTATACAATGTAAAATAACCAAGAGTAGTAATAAAATCAACGTTTTGAATGAAAAAGAAATTGAACACCAATCCCATGGTAGGCAAGAATTCATGTAATAGTATTGTTGTTTGATAATTATTTAATTTGCCATTCTATCCCATATGATAGTGGCTAATACCTACTCTTTAGGGCAGGGGTTTTTCAACCAGTGGGTCGCGGCACGGGTCTGAGAGGGTCGCGAGGGAAGGTGATAAATAAAAATAAAAAGCATTCAGGCCACAGATACCATACGAGCGACGGATAATAAATGAAGCGACCATGTATTTATTTAGAACTTGAGTTGAGTCCGCTTGTTTAATATCAATTGTAACCAATGCAATACAACTTTAAAACACAACTATGATTAACAAAAAGTGGAGCTCTAATGACTTAACAGCGCTGCTAAAAATGATGTTTCTCGCCGCTTGTATCGTAACATAGGCCTTATTGTTGTAAGACAAAAGTTGTTTACTTAGAAAAGACACACTACACAAAATTCATTGCGAAATCGCAAAAAATACCAACGCAGAATGATTTAATGAGAAAAACTTGAGCTTGCTTGGACTTAACTAATTTTTGAATGTCTGGGTTGATTTTTGTCAAACACAAAATAATATCATTTTACCCATTCCAAACGATTTCTTGATTTTGTTTTTAAATTTACAATTGTGGAAAATCCTTTTTGACAATTGTAAAAAGTAGAGAAAGTTGTCAAAAGCTTCAACGCTACTTTCGTCAATTCTGGGTGTTCCTTCTTTATACAAACATCGTCAAAAGTAAGTTTCATTGACTGATCACTTGATATATCTGTCAGTTCATCGTGAAGGCCAGAGCATTTAGTTCAGCTTTTTGAACAACTTTTTCAGAAAAAGGTTTTGTTATCCACATACCCCCACTTGTATCTTTAACAGGAATAAAATCATTTAATTGCTTCAAGATGTGATGATATGAGTAATGAGAGAGGTGATGTATCAATGGTGTGTCACCAATACTTGAGACATACTCTTTGAATTCTTGTGTAAGTTGAAAATTTTCATAGTCTTCATTCTTTATTGTTGTGTTCCAAATAGTAAGTTTTCTTACAAATGCATTTACTCGATCTTAAATATACAGAATAGTTGTGTCTGGTTCTTGTAGGGCTAAGTTCAAAATGTTGAGATAAGAAAAAATAAGTAAGCTTTATCAGCTATTTTTCATCGCTGAAAAAAAAATGGGAAAGTTCAGGTTTACTGTCCATTAAAAAAGCAACAGTTCTTATTTCAATGAAAACAGCCTACTCAACACGTTGTCCCTGGACAGCCGGCTCACTTCGGTGTGTAATAGCACATGTTTGTGCAGGGGTCCTACCTCTTCACACAAGTTTTCAAGTAATCTACTCTGCAATGGGGGACTCTTGATGTAGTTAACAACTTTGATAGCCTTAGCCAAAACTTGACGCAAGTCCTCTGGCATTTTTTAGCTGCCAAAGCTTGTCTATGTAAAAGACAATGCACCCAGTTTGCATTTGGCATTAAAGTTTTCAACCTGGCAATCAAATTACTGTTTTTTTCCCGAAAAGGCTCTTGCTCCATCACTACAAATCTAAACACATTTATGTCAATCAATTTTAAAAAGTTCAGTTGCTTCAATGAACACTTTAAAAAGACTCACTTGTGGCATGGTCTGGGAAAGACTTGCAAAATAATACATTTGATAGTAGGATTTTTTCAGCTTGTCAGCTTCTTGAGGATTAATCATATTTGAAACCATATCGATTGCGGCAGGAAGAATTAATTCCTCAGCAATGGTGTGTGGCTTCCCAACTTTAGCAATCTTGAGTGCTACCTTGTACGAAGCTTTAAGAGCATTTTTACTAACGTCAGCAAGGCCTTTAATATTTACCTGTTGACTTCGAAGTGACAGCAGTTTTTTCTGGAAAAACTCGACTGGTTTCTTTTTCAGCGCCAAATGTTTAGTTTCTAGATGACGCTTCATTTTTGAAGGTTTCATGCTTTCAGCTGATAATACTTCACTACAAATAACACACTAAGGTTTGTTTTCAAGTTCAGTAAAACCAAACTGTAGATATGAATTATCATACTTTCGGCATTTTGGTTTTGATACCTCGGAATTCTCACTACTTTTGCTACATGAAGAATCTCTTAAAAACTTATCCATTATTAACACTAAAACACGAGTGGTCAATTTGAAGATCGAAGTACGCAATATTACTCAAGACGTCAGGCAGTCGAGTAGCAGACAGGATTGCCAGGTCGAAAAAAAAATTATTCATGAGAAAATGCAACAAAAATCATGAGATTTTCAGTAAAAATCATGAGAGGCCTAATTTTATCGGGAATTAAAAAAAATGGGCCTATTTTATTAATATGCATTTTTATTGAACAAAACAAAAAAATCACTCTTGTCTTGAAAATAAAACACAAAACATAAAATATAATAGAATAAAATAAACAAATCTTCAAAACATAAAACAATTGGTACCTACTTCCTAGGTAACTCATAACGATAAGGTAGGAACATTGTTTTCAGTGTTCTCTGGTAGGAACTACCCTCTGAGGCAACTACTCGGAGTCAGACTCATAAATTTGTTGGTTCATTTTTTTCAACATTTCATTTTTTATTTCAAAATTAGCACATATTGCACCATCTTTACTTACTAAATCTTTGGTATGCAAAAGTCCAATTAAAGTTGACGTATTTAACCTGTTTCTCGCTTTTGATTTATTTATATTAATTATAGAAAATATTCTTTCTACGCACGCGCTTGAATGTGGTTAAAATATCAAACACAAAGTTAGATAACTTTTTAAATTTAAGCTCTTTGTCGGGAGATTCAATTTTTCATATTTTTTTCCAAAATTCACATTCTTGAGAATTCTTGAGAATCAAAATTAATTTCAAAATTTCTAAATTCTAACCACTCGTTATCAATATCTTGTATGTCTTACGGGTTACATAATTTTGGAAATTTGTTGAGAACTGCGGCACTTCTAATTTTTCTAGATTTGACAATTTGAGGATCTATAAAATCAAGTTTCTCAAAAATAGAATTTTTCAAGGGAAATCTAGATAAAGCTGGGATACGCTCTCAATGTAAAAATTCAGACATTTTAATTTAACTGTCTGAAGTCGTTTTTTTCCAAATTACTGGCATTAATGGCAGCTGAAAAATACATTTCATTTATATCTAAAAAATCATGAGATTTTTGTTGAAAATTATGGAATCATGAAAAATGTGTCCAAATCATGAGATTTCATGAAAAATCATGAGACCTGGCAACCCTGCTAGCAGAGTGGCAGCAGTCTTGCTTGTCGGTGATGGCTGCGCGCGGCTATAAATACACCACGCGTCAGGTCTGTAAATACAAAACGCGTAGTCCTTGCCTGCTTTGATATTGAAAATGATTCAAATTACTTTCATGATACTATTATAACCGGATCGTTTATTAATTATTAATAAATTAGTGCTCACCAACGTCTTGTTAATAAAGTTTTGAATAGTGGTGGTTTTTTTACTATTATAACATGTTTTATAACAATTATTGCTGTCTTTTTGTGTACGGAAGCCTACGTTACGATGTTTCTAGAAGGGGGTCGCCAAAATTCTCAACCTAAAAAGGGGGTCGCAGCGTTGAAAAGGTTGAGAACCCCTGCTTTAGGGTGTCTACGTCTTGGTCATAGTCATTATACTCAAGTCATATCTGTAGACGCTCTTTCTTTATTATGTCTTGCTTGTGTATTTCTTTGATATGCTTATTTACTATGTTGTTTCTTTTTAATATGTTTTTATTATATTTGGCATAAAAAAAACTAAACATCTTATTCGTTAGCATATTCTAAGCCACTTCTATATTTTTTCATGATGATCGCGTATCAAGGGTATACTGAATTAGCTTAGTATTTATTAAGTAAAATATTCCAAACAGTGAAAACTCTATTAAACATTTTGCCTGCCTCAAGTAGACTGTTTTTTTTTAGAATGATCAACTTCAAAATCAAAACGAATTTCTGGAATCAAAAGTAGCTACCCTGGAAGAAACAGGTGGCTCATTGAGAACCCAATTGGAACAGTATTTGGTCGATATACAAAAATTCCAGAGAGACAATGAAACTCTACAACAGAAAAACCACGATTTACTATGCGAGCTTAGATCCCTGCATGCCTCGTTCGAAGCGGTCACCAGCCAAAAAAGGTATAAAGAGGATACTATCAAAGACTTGGAAAACAAGTTAAACGAAGCTAAGATATCTAGAGACGAAATATGTTTCGAAAGTAAAAACGCTATTAATTACTTTAGACAGTGGCTACAGGAGCAAAACAGAATCAATAAGTATATTGTCTCTAAGGAGAAGAATTATTGTAAGACCATTGATATGATGAGACACCAAATTGAGTATGTCTTAAAAAGATTTTTTTTTTAATTGTGTGTGCCTGCTACTAATACTAATATCACAATAGCGTTACTTAAGATATTAGAAATGAATTTTAGAAGAAAGTTGCACCATTATCTTAACAAATTTTATTTTTAGGGATAAGCAGAGTATACCTTGCGAACGGATGTATGCCAAACCCAAAAATATGTCGCATCTAACTTGTCAAGGTCCGTGCAGTTTAGGGTCACAGGGTAACGACAACGAATCTATATACAGTATCAGTCCTGTCCACAGTCCATGTCCTCCATGTCCTAATCGGCGACAAGTTGATGATTGCGATTGGTTCGCGGACACCTATAAGGTAAATTTTAGCTTAATATGTATGAAGTTTGTTCCCACAGCGATTATGGTATCGATTCTCGAATCGTGCGTTGTTTCATTTCAAGAGAATGAATTACTTTTTTTAGTATATCCGTTATATTTAGATATGAAATATAATACTTATTTTAGAAAAAAACTTGGGACGTATATATCCCTGCAGTATAGAAACGTGGGATATATATATCCCCGCAGTGTTGACGCGGTAAAATAAAAAATAAACTTATCCAGGAAATATTTTTCTATAAATTTATTTCATAATTCTATGTATGGTATGGAATGAAACAATTAACACATAAAGGTACTTGACATTTCTTGCATATTATTTTGGTTCTTTTTTTCAACTTTTCTGGACTTACAACGAATACACCTATTTCGACCACCTTTATCAATAGGAAGATGATAACCAATGTTTTCGCAATGTTTTGCCCTCTTTGATGTTCTACCCTGTCTTCTCGATGGTTTGTTATCTGTTTGAGACCTTCCTTCACTAATAAGGCCTTCAGCCACATTTACCACGAAGTCAATAAATGGAATCTTTTTTTTAGTTAGCTCTTGATAGACAATGTGAGCATTACATAGGGCAACCATTAGCAATCGGAAAAAGACTTTCTTCCACCATTTAGTACTTCTTCGGTCTAATTCGTATAATGTAGACATCTGATCAGCGTGATCTACGCCGCCCATATGTATATTATAAAAAATAATGGCCTCTGGGCATTCCAATTCTTTTGAAGTGCCATTTTTTCGTTTTGTTTTTTCGATTATAGGCATGTGACAGTTACTCATTACCAACACGTCCTTAGTATCCTTCCATTTCACAGGCTCCTCTCTCAACCAGTTTAGATTCTAATTTGGTAGTATTTTTTCGACTTGATATATAGGTTCCCACTACAGAATGTCCGATTGAATCTAAGACTATTATCGAACAGAAAAAGCGATCAAAGCATATTGCCACATTGGGATTTCTTATAGTTTCCGCCAACTTTAGCACAACTCGCTCACCTAGAGTTCCTTCAGAGACTTCATTATCTTTTCCGCAATAGATATTTGTGTCATAACCATAACCAGTTTTCGAGTCACACCTTGTCCACAATTTTATACCTCTTTTGATCGGCTTCAATGGAAGATATTGAATTTGGTCATAGATTCATCTATTGCCTGAAATGTGGAGTATGTTCTAGTTTTTATGTGCTTCAAGCAGGATAGAACTTCTTCCATATAGTAAATTTTTAATGAATTTTCTGGTTTCTCCGGATAGTTTAGGTATAGTTTGATAATAACAGCATAAATCTGTCTCTAGAAATGGCCTCTATTATGGCTGGATTTCCCAGCGACTTATTTCTAGACCAGTACATGTGAATAGCTGGTACACGATTATACGACATGATTAGTGAACACCCTAAAATTATTTTAATTTCTCCTGCTGAGGTTTTTTTGATTGGCTTTTTCTTCGTTTTTTCCAATATATCAAGACGCAAATTAGTATAATAACTAATCTGCGTGATTAGACTTTTTGGGAACAACTGGTAAAAACATTCAAGCATAGTTGACCCTCTATTTAGATTAGCAATAATCACCGGGTTTTCTTCTATCGGAATGTTTCGTTTGGGTGAAAAAGTAAGAAGATTCTTGTTCCAAATATACTTGCCTGCAGATGAAGAAGGAATTTTAGTAGTATCTTCCCTCTCTTGATTATTGGTCCCTTCAGTTATTTCAGATTCCATAGTATTTTGTTCAGTTGTTTCAGATTCCATATTATTTTGTTCAGTTCTTTCAGATTCCATATTATTTTGTTCAGAATCAGTTTCACTTTCCTCAGAACCAGAATCTTCATCATGTGAATAATCTGATGAATTTTCAGAACCATCTCTTCTTCACTATCTGATTCATCCACAAACATCCTTTCAGCAATCCCTGATAGTTGCTTTTCAGAGAGCGGACGCCTACTACTCATTCTGAAACAAATGATATTGTAGTGTAACCAACTGAAATAAAGAGAGACAACTTAACTAATATCTCTCTCTCTTTTATAAAAGTATGATAAATAAAGTGGCAGCGTGATCAACTATAAAGTGACTAGGACACCACGAGTGACAGACTGAAAGATTCGTTATCTATTGGCTACTTACGTGTTATTGAGGGGGTGGTAAAGGTTAAAAGAAAATATCTATTGATTTATATCTAATCTTTATTGAAAATATTATAGATGACAGGATCAGAAAGTAAAAATTTATAGGTATATAAAATATATTTATAAAGATTAAATATAGGTCTGGTTCGGCGCAATAAAAAAAATAATTTATTTATCAAATGAGGGGAAAGAACTAGCAAGAAAACCCCAAAGTTATAATAAATACAATAAAACCAATCAAACGTCAATTTGGATACAAATGACAAATTAAGTATATATATATATATATATATATATATATATATATATATATATATATATATATATATATATATATATATATATATATATATATATATACTCGACCAGCGTATCATGTGACATCCAGCAAAAATTTTGACTTTGTGACATCCACCCTTTACAAAGACTTTAGGAAAAAAATAAAAATATGACTTCTTTTAATTTAAAAAATATTATCACTGAGCGAAAAATATTACAACCATACACATTTTAAAAAAATAAAACGTCCTATCGTTGTGAGATCCAAAGTATACACGGTATATATTTTTATTAACAACACTTTGTGACATCCAGAAAAACCTTGCATCTTGTGACATCCAGTTGTTACGTCACAGTATACCATTTCTACAAGAAAATTGCTATTCTTGTAACATCCAGCAAGTATATAAATACATTTTTGAATTGGGCACCTTATTACATCCTAAAAACTTAACACGTTTAACGCCAAAGCACACCCTCAAATTCTATGATTTTTATTGTTTTTTTATTCCAATGTGATTTCTTTAGTTGTTTTGATAAAATAATTTATTTCATTTTTAAATAATTACTGAGGCCCTTCCTATGTGGCCTCAGTATTGCATTCGTGCAGACGAAAACATTTTTTTACCCCCATTTTTAAAACCTTTTTTTATGTTTCCGATCATTCTGAGTCCGAAAATGCAAAAAAAAATTTTCGTCTGGTCGTCTGTGTATATATATGCCGGCACAATAACTCTAGAACGAAAGTTCTAATTGACTTGCAGTTTTGATCTTCTTGAATAATTCTTTCTAACTTAGAACCCTATTGATTTTCAGAATTTTCGGTTCATTCTAACTACTTTAATATCACTTTTCTTAAAATCCGCTTATGCATTTCTTATGTGACAATTTTAGGAATTCCAATTATTTCTAACGTCAACATCCCTAACATTCTTTACATTTCATAAATTGCAAACATTCTCTAACGACCTGTCAAACAACAGCTGTTGATAGTAAAAGTGAAATTTCTAAGTCGGGTTGCGACCTTCATATTTGCAAATATAGCCATTTTGGAGGCTATTTTTATTCAAAATTAGTCGCCAAGCCTACCAATTATGAAAAATATATAAGCAGTTTCTTAAAAATTACTTTTTTATGGGGGTGCTAACTTAAGCGTACTACTATTTCGCCCCTAGCCACAAAAACACATTCATCAAATTTATTGGCAACCCCAATAATTAACCGGCCATTTTATTTAGCCAAAATCAGAATAATGCTTGGTTGTGCCTGTCAGGTATCAAGATGTCAACTATGATGTGGGAATGGCTCTTAAATGTAAAATTATTTAAAAATGTATGCTTCTTTTGATATTTGTTGCAAATAATTTGTAGTGTATCTCAATTAAGGCTTTCCATAAATAAATGTGCAGCAAGACAGATATTATAATGTTCTTATACAAAGCACTTTTTTATTAAACAGTGAGCATCATAAGTCTTACTCATTACTGGAGTCTTGTTAGGAAAATCGCCGAGACACGTCGATTTTTGATTTCTACAATGTACATTTTTGTATGAATAGTTTACCCTTAATTTCACCCCTTACTGGAGAGGAGCAACCCTTTCGAAAAATTTAAATGGCATAGGGTGGTGAGTGATAGCTCATTTGAAAGAGGGTTTTATTCTCTATTCAACCGTGTAAAAAAAATTTAAATTTGCTTCATTAATTCTCGACTAATTGTTGTTTCAGAATAACGGAAATAAACGTAGCGCACTCATCCTTATAATTAAAATTCGGCACTGTATGATTTCGGTTTTGGTTCAGACGTGAAGTAAGACTTTTTGCCATTAGAAGGTCACTGTTAGTCTAGTTGCTTTCCTATTTTGTGAGGTTTTGTTATTTTTAAACATTAATAAATCAACACGTAATGAAGCAAATTTCAAAATTCACTGTATAAAAGAGAGGTAGGATATAATGCTGGTTTACATATTCAACCAGTGAATTGTAAATAATAATTAGTAAACTTATTGAGGTTACTTTTGAATACATTTATTGTTTTTTTTTTAATTTCTGTTGACAGTCAATTGAATTTTTTACACCTTTAATAAAAATTATATTTTGGGAACTTTTAGTGATGGCTTGCCGTACATGAAAGTCAGATTGGCTTCTTGTATTATAATTGTGATATTGCGAATTATATTGAATTTTTTCTAATAGATCTGATGCGATGGTACTATGTCATTTTTATTTTATAAATAAATATCAGTTATGTACTGAATATAATTTTTAACTGAAAGCCAATTTATTTCTTTTAACATACTTGCAATACTCATCCTTCTATCCTTTATGTCCTTTATTAGAATATAAATAGGCAAAATAAGGAGCCCAAATATTTTAAATAAGCAGGCTTAAGACGTAAAAGGGCCAATTATTATTGGAAAAATTGCTCGAACAAGTTTTTAAACCCTAATCAAAAGGCGATATAGAATGGTTTTAAAAATTAAGGCTTGTGAAAATCATCACATGGATAAACCTAAGTAATGCCAATGTTTCACAAAACAAAAAATTCAACGTCCTAATACTACTATAGGCTT